GTCCTCCCTAGCTCAACGCATGCATTCATTACGCCCGACTCTGCCCCGTGAACAAACTAGAGATGTGCAAATGCACAGCGGACTCTCTACCTGCATTCACCTTTTCCTCCGCACCAACGCAGTGCGGCCCTTTCTCCAGCCTAGCTACACTGGCCCTTTCAGAGTTCTGCAACGGTCTCCGAAACATTTTACTTTAGACCAGAATGTTCACCGAACAACGGTGTCCATTGACCACCTCAAAGTGGCTATCTTTGACGAGCCACTTGCAACCCATTCTGATGCTCTTGCACAAGCACTCGCATCTGTGGTGACTTCCTGAGCACTGGATAGCCCGGAATCCGCCGTACCTCATGACTTGCAACCTATCCCGTCTCAACCCCAGGCAACCGACCGAAGCGGTAGACAGGTCAAACGTGCGGTCGGTTTTTCAGATTTTGTAAACGTTTGCTATTTCCATTAACACGCCATTTTCGTCTTTACTGGTTATCGTGCGTCTTGTTCACAAACGTTTTGCAAAATCGACAAAAAACCCAAAACATATTAAAAACCTAAAAAGCGTATTTGCTTTTATCATGCATGCCATGTTCCCTCTCCGGTGTCAAGCCACTTCCCCGACCCTTGTACTCCCCCTCTGAGTTCTACCTTCCAGAAACTCAACAGCCGGAACTGCCCAGGCAACCCTCGAGTGACTCGCCAACCGGCTCAACGCAACCCCGGAGTGACTAGCTAGCCGACCCAAGGCCTCCTTCCTCATCCAAGGAACAGACAGTCGCCCTCGACCGCAGACACCCACGAAAGGATTGGTCCCCAAACGCCGCCTAGGCATTGCCGACCAGGACTCTTTCGTTTCTTCGTAGAACGACGAAGCCTGGATTTCTTCGTGGGACGAGGACCGTGGACTTGTGGTGTGGTTGGGTGGTGTGATAACTTCTAAGCGCACCGTCGGGTCTACAGCAAAGGGAAGGTCCTGTTGGCCTTTCTTCCGGACTAGCCAGTATTTTTGCAGTCCGACCAACCCGCCCGGACGGCCCACTGATGATGCACTCTGGTCCACACGATCATCATAAATAATAACTAACCAAAGCCTGGACCCAGCGAACTCTGCTACACACCCCACATTGGTAGCCCTTACTCCAGCCCATGCAAATATTCGCATCCACCCTCACCTTCCGTTATCCCCTACTAACAGCTCCATCTAAGGCTTCCATCCTTTAGCCTTCGAGAGGGAGGCCCTTGTAGTGTACCGGAAAACAAGCTCTTTCAGTACTTTGTAACATTGCATTTTACGGTGGTTTTAACCTTCGAAACTTCCACTTGTTTTATTGACTGCACATCAGTTGACACAAACCGTTTTGGTGAGTATCTCGCTGCACGTTTCTCACTCTGTCTGATTCGCTTCCTATTCTTCTAGCCTGCACAAAACACGTTGGGTTCTGTCGCGTCCGACTTCTATACTGTCGTATTTGATACGTCTTACGTGTCATTGCTTACCGACTAGTATCCCAGGCTCCGCCCAACACGTTACTCTACAAAGTTTCCCCAAATTTCTGGTGTTGCAGCTTCTCTGTACACTCGCCACGCTGCGTTGTGTACTGTCATGCATTTTCGAGTTTTGCTTCTAACGAAAGAAAGTAAGGTACACGTATTGCAAACTCTTGTCTCTCAGGCAGCTGCAATCATTTGACTGAATTGGTTGTTGTACTCGAGCCAGGCAACTTCCAGGGTTTCTCGTCAAAGAATGAGCAAGCTATAGTGCTGATGAGCTGGGTTATTCCATCGTAACTTGTGTTGGTTGGTACAGCCTCATAGTTCTGATTCCGATATTCTGCATAGCAGATAAAATTGAAACATGACTGCAGGATTACTGCGACCCAACGAGAAGTTTACGGCTAACACGTCGATCATATGTACTTCGTTGATGAGCACAAGATCCAGCCCAGATGGCCTGTTACCTGTTCTGAACCGAGTGGTCAAAGTGATGTGATTGCAGAGCGGAACAGTGGTTACGAGCTCCATGGGTCGGCTTTGAGTAGTTCTCTGATCGTGGCAGGAGTTTCCTAAACAGTTTACCTTGAAATAATCCATTATAAGGAAGTGAGTGTACTTTCGCATTAGACTGTATATTAATGAAGCCGCAGTGTGGCAATCGGTTACGGGTGTAGGGTTGGGGGCGGTACACCAAGGCAAAACGACAAGCGGCTCTGCCTTTTAACTGCAAGCGGCACTAAAATAGTCGGGGAACTACGAGTTTGAATTCTTCACAACTTCGCATTGTAACTCGCTTCGGTAATACAGAATTATCCCTCCTCCATTTGTAATTCCATCTTTCCGGATGAGCGACATGCCCGGTAGCAAAGCTTCAGTTTCCGTCATTCCCGTGTGCAACTACATCTCATGACATCATATGGCGAGAAAGCTTGGTAATCTGTCAATTTGGTCAGTTTATTAAAACGCCCCTCAGCATTTGTAGAAATAGAGTGCCAGTTTCTCGGTCTCTTGCAGCCCACAGAGGGCTAAAGGTGAAAAGTGTGGAAGAATGCTGACCGATGGGAGGACGGCAGTTACCCGTTTTTTGACGGGATAACGATACCTCGTCTGAAACGTGCTTAAATCAAGGTGCGACCCAGTCTTCGTTCAGACCTACGTCAGAGTCGAGTAAAGCAGCAGTCAGTTTGACCTAATGTATCACCGTCGGTACGTTTATTCCTTCAGGTTCTTTGATAGCTGGATTTTGCAAAGCTTTTGCGTTCTTTAACCAAAGTTCCGAAGGAAGACATTTCCTATTACTTCGCCATCGATCCAAAATATGCGTTGCTTTTTACCTGACTGAATCACACGTTTTATAATGCTAGGGCCGCATCCTCTATAATTCAGAGATAGCGGTATTTTAGTGGGCGATGGCGCCAAAATATTATACAAAATGTGTTTGCTGAATGAACCACTGTTGTACTAAATCATGTTTTCCGGCCTCTTGGACGTCGTTAGAGGGATGTTCTGGCACGCCATGTATGAAGGTTGTGTTGAGACGGTCATGCTTGCTGTGTTCCCCTTCAGTGTTTTTTTTGCTTGTCGCGTGCTTCAAGGAACATAAGTATAGATGCTTATCCTACATGGTCAGTGTCTTAGCGCGTTTGCAGAGAGTGGAAGGCTTCCACATTGTTAAAGGATTCTAGTGTTACTCGAATAAATCTGGGTTCTCCAGAGTGTGGTGAGTTCGGTTGGCGGATAATTCGTACTAAATCTATGGGTTTGGTTTTAACACTCATGAGCCGCACCATGATTTCCATTGATATTGGTCGTCCGATAACTTACCACGCAATGTGACGGTAATAGATTCAGAGACATTTGAGCAAACGACAGTCATGGCACTATTGTTGGATCCCTTTTTCGTCCATCTACAGGGTAGGGTAATTGTTTTCCTGAGCTGATGACATGTGTTGATTGTTTACTGTTTGTCTCTCTATTCGCACTAACGAGGTTTACAACAGAAGTGGCAGCAACGAAGGCCTTCCGGCAGACCCTTGCATCAATCTCTGCATATGTAACTAATGTCCCTGGGGGCTTTGTCTAGACAAGAGACATTTGAGCCGCATGTACCGATGGTTGGTGTTCGGCTGCTTTATCCGTGTTAATGCTAGATGTCAGATCTAGCGAAATTTGCTAAACCAGACGTTTCGATTGTTGCCTGACTTTCCTTGCCATGAGTACTGTTTGACTTTCGCATCTGGTCAGTTTTCACCCGGCATTCTATCAAACTCAGAGAAAGCAGGGGAGATGGAGACGTGGCTAATTGCGGTTCAGGGGAGGCAGAATGTGCAGCATTCCGTTGCTTAGAGGCGGCTACGCCTTCCTGGTGGATATTCGCTCCCATTAAAGTAATCTTTTATTTCATCCGCTGCTCGGTTTCTGCAGTTAAGCGTTCGCACTTCTGAACTGGGATAAGCCGACAATTAATGAATGGGATAGTCAAGCACGCAGCACAGAGCCAAAGGACATCTTATGAGTTATTGTGCTCTCGTACCTTGTTGGGACACGTTGCACATTTCGATGATACCCTTCCAAACAATGCGAACAAACCAAACTTTTAACTAATGAATGATGTTCTCCTACCCCACAAATGTCATTTGTTTAGAGCCTTTTCGGATGCTCATTTCTTCCATTCCACATGGTACTGTTACCTGAGCAAGTGGGTTGGTTGGCGCTCTGTATTTTTTTGAAAAATTTGGAATGCAGCTAATGCCGGCACCGGTAGCTAGATATGATATAGGTAACTTTTGTGATTAAACTCTAAATGCCACTCATGTCCATGCAGTGGGCAAAATCGATGAGTCCTACTGGTCCTCTTCAACACCTAATGTGGCTTGCAGACATTGAATTTACCTATTTTTACTTCCAGTTGATCCTGTGTTCATTCGTATAACTACAAGCTTTAGTGAAAAATAAATATAATTCAACATATCAAAAAGTCTTATTCCATATATAACCACGTCGTAAAATTTATGAATTTCCATTGATTTCCGTTTGTTATATTTCTTACAATGTTCGGCAACGCTTGCTCGGTTTTAACCTATGCCTTTCACATATACTAATACACAATTAGATTACTTTGTACAATTACACAAAATAAAAAGCGGGAAGAATGCGATTAGCTTAAAACATAATTAATCATCGATGTCATTCTCTCTCTCTCCCAATCTTAACGCTAACTTGCTAAGATTCCGACAAGTTATTAAACCACCTTTCACGATAAGGCCTCAGTTGGCAAATGCACTTCCTATACTAACCTTTAGGAGCATCACTAGTTGAATACTTTTTAATAAACACTTACATAATTTGGTTATACAATGGAACGTCTGAATGCAAATGCTCTGAGAATGTTCACTGAGAATTTGGCCAAGTCAAATAAGCAGAAGGGAATAGCACATAAAACATGCTAAACCTTCACTGTCAATTATGCATTAAATAGTTCATTAAGATAGAGACCAACCTACAGAACTTACCACTCCAGGTTACAGCGTATCCGGAGGTAGGGGTATCGATAATCTGCCTAAGTCGGGTCACAAGCATGTCGTAAGTTATGGATTCCTTTGGTTGTTTTACGTTCCATCTGGTAGTTTCCCAACCATCCTTCGCTCTGTTGGAAGGAAAGACGAGTTTAAATGTCGGCATAGCACAAATGTGACTGTTCAATGGTTACCCTCACAAATTGTTTGATTTATCTGCCGTGTTATAAATAATGTTGCTGTGTTCGTATCTTCAAGTGTATTAAATCGTCACGAGATCATTACAACACGTGACTGACAAACTCATAACCATGGTGCAGATTCGTGTGCCTTATGCTATCCACCCAGATCGCGCATGGGTAAAAAATCAATATTGAAGCAATTGATTACATCACAAGTGCTGCAAGTGAGCTACTAAGTATGGCTGTGTCAATCCTGCCAAATATATTTGGCATATCTTGCCAGTGTTGTACAGGAGTCCTTTACGCGGGTTAAAAATATATACCCGCTTACCTACATGCAGTCGGCAGACTGCTTACAGGAGTTGCCGGGCATATGTTCATTTATATTTCTGTTGTTAGTAGACAGAGAAAAGTAAAATAATATGTAAGGGATGTAGGAATCGCATCCTTTGAAAAAGTACCAATTATTTAGTGAGCGCTGCCACGCCGTCGATGGCCCGATAGGAAGAACAGCACTTCAGCTGGTGAAGTTGACAGGCATATAATTTTATTACACTACTTGTCTCATGCTGAGGTTGAGGATGCTTACATCATAACTCTTCACCGCAGTTGGGCTACACCGACTTACACTTAAACTAGTTCTTCCTGACCTGGATAAACATATCCCATTTGATATGAGTTAATTAGTTCAGTTTTTTGTTGCACGTTCCATTTTACATGTTTACTTACCTTCAGATCCTATGTTGTTTGTTTGATATCCCAGGGGTGGCTGCGTTTGATAAGAAACGTGACAGGATGCCTACCTGTCTAACACCGTCCACCTAGATTATACTACCACTAGGAGACTGCATGTCTTGACTGAGATGGACGGGGCGCATGGTCCTCTTGACGGTGCTAGGCTCAAAGAGTGGCTGCATCCAATGTGGAGCGCACTAAGTTCCAGCCACCGCATTGCGTAGGTCTGGTACGCATGATATGTAAATTGGGTAGACAGGAATGCTGCTTCTTTGCATGTTAAAGAAGTGTGGGTCCGCTCCGTTGATGAAACGTGGCTCCCGTCCACCTATCTCCCAATTTTATTCCATCGGATTTATACTGGATATGCGGTGTGTGGATGGAGCCGTGCATGGTGCAACGCAATCCACCACGGTCCTTCTGTGGGTGCAGGTGTTCAGTAGCTGTCTTATGGAGGCAGTGTTGACAAGCAAATCCGGAACTGGATGTCGCCAACCAGGCTACCATGATCTTCCATGTTATATAGAAAATACCGATGGTTTATTCAATCATCGTCATGAGTGAAAGTAAGTACGTTGTTGCGTCAAATGTGGTCAGCGTGTCACTCAGACCGATAATGCATGAACCCCACACATTATGACGCTGTCGAAACCCGTTGGACCTATCTTGACGCTTTTCACTCGTTTTTGTCCACAAGTTTTCCGTTGGACCAGACCTAGTCGTTGCGGTCTTCATCATATTGACGCAACATGCGTACAATTGGGATACGGGAGCGATTATGTGGCCAATTCTTCCAGTTATCTCACGGAAATAAATCGCCAGTGTGATTTTGCAAAAATGTGACACTCACGTAGCTACAACAAGGTAGTCTGTGCCACTAGAACTGATCTAACACAGTGCAACATTTACAACCTCTTGACGCCCCAGGTCGCTTTTCCAGATCATGTGAGATACAGCAAAGAAATGTCCCTCCATCTTATTTTCTCCTTTGCAAGTACCAGCTTGTAAATCTCAGCACGTGCAAATATCCATAGATACAAAGCAGCATGGCAGTTGGGGATAGTTTGCACTAAATCCCAGTTCACTTGTAAGTTCAGACCGTCTGCCACCATCGCCCGTGACTCAATGAAATAAGCTGGTGCCTACTTGGCGTAAGCTGCCGACCAGCATGGGTTTGATAGCGAGCAGCGTACTGAAGAAAATACGCAACACTGATGAGCACCAATAAATTGAAACGATCGTCTAGTAGTTAGACCAGTCGATCTGTTAGCTCGTGGGATAAAGCAGTTACAAGTCCATAGTTTTACTTCGTATATCATCAACGGTTGGATATGACTTTAAATGTATACGTTTCTGGTTAAGAAGCGTAGATTCATTCTCCCTTCGTGGTCTCAATGGACGAAGATAAGTGTCTTGCAAAGTTCACGTAAAGCATATTTGTGAGGTGCCCACTAAATCATTTCCTATATTCAATGTGCTCAATACTCACTACGTCTAACTGCCTTATGCTTAAACTCATGACAAAACAAGCTTCAGTAAACAATGCGCAATGAACAATGATTTATCACGGGTAAATTTGTTGGTGCTAGACAAGTCCTGTAGTGTGGTTCTAGTGAAAAAGATAGATTAATGGATAAGTGAATCGTCCATTTAAGCAAGTGCAGATTTCACTAAAATCCGGTACAACAGTAGTTTGAAAGGAGTATTGAATATGCGCATACAAAGGAATATGGTGAGTAATTCCATTACACACAATAATCGGGAAAACATAAGGAAGATGCCAAATCTACTGGTGTGTAGGTTTTTTGGTTCGATGGGATCCGTTAATCCAATAGTAGCGTTTAACAAATCATCTGCTGAAGGCGAACATATGCATGTTGATTTGTAATGCTAGGTTGACACTCAGATACAGCGGATTATATCGTGTAATGTAAAGCTATAACTGCATTGTCTAGACGTTTTTGTAATACCACTAGTTTGGGAAAAGGAACAACGTGAGGAGGGTGTTCCATGGTTAGCACATTAGAAAGGAAGAGAATTTCCATTGACAACCCAACCGGCTATGCTGTGTGGTCAGGTTTAGCTGGTGACCTCTCAGAGTAGTATTGTGTTTCAGCTTCAGAGGATGACTTTAAGTGCAGTTTCAAATCCTTAGGATCAAATAAATCATTAGGAAATCGCCACGCAGGCTTTCATGTTGTCCATTGTAGACCTCAGATTGTAAGGGAAACGAAACAGACCTTTGAGTATCTGGGTCGTCCTTCGTTGTGGTAATTTAATTGTTGTGAGGTCCTGCTTGTACCAGAGCTACCAATCGTGAATAGCGTATTTTGAATGAGGTCTAATGCAGGTAATGAGCATCTGAGCGAAGATTGATGGGTCAAGACGCCGAACGCTCCCTGCACATGGCCAAGGACTTGGTTGGCCTTTTGGACGCCTTCTAACCCTAACCTGAACAGCTAAGACCATCTTATACTACCACACCAAGGTCACATTTACTAGTAGCAAGCTGCAAAGCTTGATCCCCCAGCCTGTACTCGCAAATGTGTTGATGGCGTATGAAGTGGTAGCGTTGAAATGAAGCAGGTTCTGAGTCACCCATGCATGTGTCCTATCTAGGTCATTCTGAAGATCTACGCAGTTAATCGTTGTTTTGATGGCCCGCCATGTCTCGAGCTCATCAGCGAAGAGTGAGAAATCGGAAGTGCTCACTCATGGAAAATCGTTTATGTAAATCAGGAACAGTAGTTGACCAAGTACTGAGCCCTGCGACACTCCAGCTTGAACATCATTGGTTAATGGTCAATGGTAAATTGCGGAGAAGAAAGCCGAAGCTTGACATGAAAAGCCTGATGATCTGTTAAAGGTGATCAAACTATAGGCACAACTAGCAATAAGAAATAGTGAACAACCGAAACTTGCAACTTGCCGGTTACAGCGTTCCTGTCTGGGCAGTACATACTTGGTTTTATGTGCTACGCAAGATTTGCGTCTCTAGTTTCCGGGAGAAAATGGAGGTGGGTTAGTTTGTTTGCTTTTTCTGCTGTTTGCATAGGTCCTTTGAATTAGGTGAGATGGTGTAATATGCATAGTGTGCTGTCAACACGTGTCTTGAACAAGACTAACTTGGGGCTGAAACAACGGATTCTGAGAGGTTATGCTACGTCTGGTAAACGTGCATCGAGAAGAACTTTCTTCGATAATCTAATCAACTGTATTGTTCTGCCAATTTGAGATGATGGTCTCTAAGTTTGCTGTTGTAACTCTGCTTTACTAGGTGATGGCACAGGAGATTAGTGTTGTTAATATTTGGTAAGCCATGATTAGCTCATCATGCAAACGGCGATAACGTCCACTGAAAGTGCCAAGCATTCTGAGACGCTTTTCATGTGATAAGTGGCGCAGTCTCTTAACATTTCTGGTCGCTTGACGTTGTGGAATCTTTAAGGCCGTGAGATCCCGCTTTAGCCATGGATGCTATGATTAAAGTGCATATTCAACATGAGGGCTACACAGGCTGGAAGCATTTGATGATAAATCAACGGTTCCATTTGTCAAGAAGCACTCCGTTAAAGCCTCACGATTTGGATCCCCTTGTTCGATGCCTTGTTGGACTGCTCCGACCAGCCGAGATGTTCCTGAACCAATACACCGAGATTTTTTCGGGAGAAATTTGTTGCACATCCTGGTCCCACAGCTTATATGTGTGAACCATTCGGTGTCTTCAATGGAGCACTCGACATTTAATAACATTGAATGGAAGACGATTTTGGACAGACCACACCTGAATTTTTCCGAGGTCATTTTGAAGCTAAATACGGTCTTCTGGAGCTCTGGTCACTCGCTAAACGTTGCTTTCATTGCTGTAGTGTAAACATTTTGACTTAATTTGGCTTACTAAATTGTTTATGATAACCAAGAACAGACGGGTTCCCAGTATCGAAACCTGTAGCACTCCGCATCCTAGATGAATTGGGTCTGATCCGGATTCACCTACTCTCTCCCAGATGCCTGTTCGAGAGGAAATTGCAGATCCACCTGGAGAGAAGTTCCCTAATGCCACTTTCATGAAATTTAGCGATCCAACCGGTCGAAAGCCTTAGCGAAATCAAGGTAGGCCACATCATCTTCTGCATCAGCATCCACGGTTTCGGGCCAGCTGTTTCATGCTAACTATAGGTTGGTTATGCACAACGGATTCTGGCGGAAGCCATGTTGCTAATGAGCAAAGTAACCAAAGAACTCCAGATAAGATATGAATGCGTCAGCAATGGTATTCTCCATAACGTTCGAAAGAACTGGAAGTAAAGT